AAACAGGAACAGGAAACTATTCCCCAAAAAAAGGCTTCAGTGGGTATAAAAACTACTTCCCACATGTGTCAGCCCTTTTTTTCTCTCCTTTTTTCCTGCCAGAACCATCTTTCTGTCTGGCTCTTCAATAAATTGCAACCTTCTTTCTAAAGGAGTCACCATGTTGTTTATTTATCCCTGGCTTGGATGAACCAGGATGAAGACTTTTCTTTCAACACTATTTTAGGCTAAATCTATATACTATATCTGTCATCTGTCTATCTATATCCATGCATCCATCCATCCATCTACCTACCTACCTATCTATCGCCACTTGTACTTTTTCCAACACTAACTCTATTCAATTGGTGCCCAGAGAAGAATGAAAAACATTTGGGTGTGTGTGTTCGGTTTAGAAATAAAGAGCTTGGCTCCACAATTTAGCTAAGGAGGAAAGAAATGCAAAGGAAATGGATTAAGCAAATGGTTAGATTGGGATTCAGAATATTTTATTTTTTAAAAATGGCCTATTGAATGTCATAAAGTGTTTTTATGTTTACTCTGAATGTATTTGTGTATCTTCTATGGGTACTAAAATGATAAAACAATATTTTATTAAAATATTTTACAGTACTCGGAACACCAAAGATCTGCTGTCAACTTACATTTATATTGCGCTAGGAAGTGTGAAAATGTGTGTTTCTTAGCTCAACTAAAATCGATTTGGCTAAAGCTGAGAAAAAGTCAAATATATGACAAAAATACTCGGCCTGGTTCATGCTTCTTTTATTAGGAGTATTTTCTGCTGAACTAGTGTACCAGAAAACAAAATCAAGATTTCTCTTTTTAAATGATTTTTAAAAGTCCGGAAACTTAAAAAAAGTCCGCAAACTTAAAAAAAGCTTAAATCTGGAACACATGCATATAGAGATGCAGGCCACATACATTATTAGAATAGAAGAGTTTTGTAATTATCCATCTTTATTTCACAGATATAACCAGCATTTCATCACAGAATAAACTAGCCATGTAGTACGAGAAATGGAAAATTAGAATGTGGAAATTCTACAACCCTTTAAGTCCAAATGTAGCCAACCGAGAGATCACTTCCCAGCATCTATATTTGCCAGTGCAAGCCTCATTTTTGATATTGTTATAAATAGTGAAATGATAGAATAAATATAGTCTGGTATTATTCTTAACACAATAAATAGCACATAAAATAAGAAAGATAAAAAGTACAATTAAAAAATCCCAGTATGAAAACCTATAAACAAATTATATCAGCAAGAATTATCTGATGCTTAGGAAGACATGTAAGGTTTGAAAGCTTTCTAAAGTAAGCCTTGAACAATAACAGATTAAGAGTTGCTGAAAGAAGAATCCACCCAAAATTCTCCCTCACCCCTCAGTTTGATTCATAGGAAAATGAGAAATCTGCTCAGTGTATGTTTCAGTTGCCTTAGTACAAGAATTGTGAATTTTTATTTCAACCCCCACTGTACTTGTATTCAGCTTTACTAAATCATATATTTCCACAATACATACCCATGTTTCCCCCAAAATAAGACCCGGTCTTATATTTTTTTGCCTCCAAAAGAGGCACCAGGTCTTATTTTGGGGGGATGTCTTACCCGCTTAACTTAGGACCGCTGCAGCCAAGCCTCCTATGCCCGACACCTGTTGCGCTGAGTTCCTCTGCACCTGCTTGTGGCCGCATGCCATGTGGCACATCGCGCTACTGCCACTGCTCGCAAGAAGCCTCATGGCTTGTTGTGATCACACTGCTGCTGTTGCTCGCAACAAGAAGCCACATGGCTCTGGGGATTGCAGCGGCACGGTCGGGTGGAGTCATCTCTTCGCTGACCGAGTTTCCTCCGCCAGTAGACCCAAGTGGCTCAAAAAGTCGTTCTGGAGGCTCCTCATATGACTGGAGAAGTGCGGCGGGGTCTTCTGCAATCCGAGCAAACTCCTTTGGGCCGACAGAGTAAAGATCGGTCAGTAAAATGGCCGACCATTTAGCTGCGTCAACCGCAAGCCATAAGATCATCTAAGCAAATAGATCCACCATGGAAGATTCGATGAGACCCCTTTTTATCTCTACTTCTTTTTTATCTTTCCTGTGAAAAGTTTTTTTTTGTAACCATTTCCCTATTTTGATGGGGGAAGAGAAGCTTCGAATAAAAGGAAATTATATTTATATTTTTTAATGGTTGATTTTATTTTTGGATATTTGGGAGCCCCAAGAAATTTTGTTACAGAGATTTAACATGCCAATTATTTGGAGAATACTGTTTCTTTTATTCTTATGGTGTCTGGAAAGACTGAATAACTCTGATTATCCTTCGGGGGACATCTTCTGGTGAAACTACTCATTGCAACTGTTATTTCTTTCTCTTGGAGTTTGACTTTGGCCTCAATCTACTACAAAAGCAAAAGATAAAGAAGCCGTACAGCTGGGTAGAGGCGGATATTGACTGATTCCTTTTAAATATAGCTTCCCCCCAAAGGACAATGACTTCAAATATTATAGAAATGGAGGAAACCTGTTTAGACCTTAATTATAAGTATATATTGGATAAAATTCTGGAAAATATTGAGTGGATAGTTGCCTACACAAAAGAGATTTCCTTTCAACAACAAATTAAAGCACAAGGTCTAAGTAAGCACTTTGGAAGCCAAGAAACAGCAGAGGGGGTATACATTCAAGAGATCTGTTTTCAACTTTGCTTTCAGCCCACTGAGATGGAAGAATCAAATTTACATTTGGATTATCAACTTATATTGGAAAAAATTCCTGATGTTAATGAACAAATGATCTTTAGCAAGGAAATGGAGGATTTTACCCCAGAAGTACAAGCTGACTTGCAGATACCAACTGACTTTCTGACAGAGAAAAAATCAACAGAAGAACAAAACTTGACTAAAGAGGACTATACATTACTTTATTTACAATCTACTAAGAAAATGATTGTAAGCAAACCTTATGCAACTTTAAAAAGGATGGGAAATGATGTTCAGCTACAAGCTATTGAGAATAGTTATAACTCTTATATTAGCCTATTAAAATGGACAATGGGAGGCTCCCTTTTGGTGTACATATTATGGCAAGAGATATTGGGAGATCTATTTGCGGAACTAGAGGCTTTATTATGGAAACCCATTTGGAATAGAAAGAAACCCAGAATAAGATATAAATATCAAATTTAAGATTACAGTTATGGGTGGTATTTTGTCAAAAGGGAGGTCATTATGAAAAGATTTAGAACTTAATATTGAAATATAGTAAGAATATGTTTCTTGGAATGATAGATTATTTTCCTCTCCTTTTCTTCCTCTCTTTTTTTTTCTTGTTCTCTCCTCTTGGTTTATTTTTTTATTTTTTGGTGTTATTTTTCTTTCTTTTCCTTGTACTTCTTTACATGTTTTTAATAGTATATATGATATAATGAGAAAAAGATTGAAATAATGGATGAGATGAAATTAATAATTGGAGAATTATTGAATAAGATCAGAATATAGTTGAGAAATGCAAGAATCTAGTTATGGAAATAACATGTTTAAATAAGAGAAACTAGGGGCACCCGAATAGTAAATAGTATGTCAGTTTAAGTCTAAATATTTGGAAATTAATAAAGCGTAAAACAGGATCTTATGGGATAATGAGCTGTTGATAATTTTTATTGATTAATGGAATTTGTATGTAGTATTAACGAATGAATTTGACTTAGAAATGTATTAAATTGATAATATCCTAATAGATAGAGGGAAATTTAAGGAATATTATGTGAGCTGTATATTTATAATATTATTGTTTCTAATTGATTATCCTATCTCCACATTGGTTCTTAAGCTTTTTTGGTGTAAAAATGGAAAACTAATAAAAATTGTTTATATATATAAAAAAGAAGCTACATGGCTCGTTGTGCTGATCACACTGCTGCTGCCGCTTGTAGCAAGAAGCCAGATGGCTAATCGTGCTGATTGCATCACTGCCGCTGCTCGTGGCAGGAGCAATGCGCCACATGGCACGCAGCTGCCAGCAGCTGCAGAACTCGAACAGCACGATAGGTGGCGGGGCGTGGGAGGCCTGGCTGCAGCAATCCTAAGGTAAGCAAGTACAGGGCTATAGAGCAGCTCCAACCCCCAATCCCTGCCCTAGCTTGATTTTTATGTGTGCCTCACCCCAAAACTAGGGCTTATTTTGGGGGTAAGTCTTCTCTTGGGCGCATGTGTAAAAATCAAGCTAGGGCTTATTTTCAGGACAGGTGTTATTTTGGGGAAAACACGGTATATATTCCAAACTTGATCATACTAACCGCTGCAATAGTACCTTTTATTTCTTGGAAAGGAGTTTTGATCTTTGTACAAGACTAGCTAAACTATGAGACATGCTTCAATGTCCAAAATAATTTGGTATCTTATAAATAAACTTGCCAAAAATTTAACTCAATTTGAAGATTATTTCTATATTACAATTTTATATGTGGCTTTGTACTGAGGGAAGTTAGCCCAGAGAAGGAAATATTAAAAGGGCAGAAAAATATATTTTTTCTCAAAAGGATTTTTTAAAACCAAACCTGGCCCCAAATCTATCTCTCTGCCCCAAGCAAGAGCTAGCCCCATACAAATGCAGATATAAAACCATCAGAAAGTTGAAGCCAGAGCATTCAAGAAGGCAAAGAGAAAATCTGCATGCCCCACCCATTAGCCCAGGAGTCATTAGCCCCATCACCTGGGAAGCAGGATATGCTAATAGGATTAAACCACAGATATCAAGGCCTAGAAAAACACTCATAAATAGCCTCAAGGTTCATGCCACAGGAACAGGAAACTACTCCAAACAAGGCTAGAGGGGATATAAAAATCTACTGCCCATGTGCTCAACTCCTCTTTCCTCTCCTCTGCCCTTTCTTGCAAGGACCATCTTTCTGCTTCTTCAATAAACTGTAACCTTCTTCCCAAAGCAGTCACCACATTGCTTATTTATCCCCGGCTTGGATGAACCAGGATGAAGACTTACTTCTGACAGTACCATATTCAAAATTATAATTTCTCTATAATTTAAGTTTTACGGAGCTTCTTAAATTTTATAGTATTGTTTGACATTCTATTTAGAACTAAATACTAAGCATTTTTTAAAACAACAACATACTCAGGTATTTACAATTAATCAACAAAATACTGAACTGCCTTAATTTCTATTAATCATATCAATTCCCCGTTTATTCATTTGTAACCTATTTTTCTGCTTCTCGTGTTTTTCCTCTCTTTTGTTCATTCCTCTGGGCTCTTTCGCTGGCTCCCCAGCAATTGTGGGTAAACTAAGCCTGTCCTGGAGAAAAGAGGTTCTAGGAAAACCGACTAAGCCCAAAGGTATTAAGCTCTTTTCCATAATTCTAATATTATGGATTGGGAGCGCTGTGTAAGAGATAAAACATATCTACATTTTGTTTTGAGGGCGCAACAGTTCAGATGATGCTTGTGCCTTTCAGCATAAAGATCTTTACTCCATCTGGCTACCACTCGAAGGATCTAACGGGGATCTTGCAGGGACCCGCTCATACTGGCGAATCAGCGACTTTCTCCTCCTCCCCTTTCCTTTTTTGTGCGGCTTTTCCCGCACCCGTTCCCCTTTCCGCCGCTCGAGTTCTAGATTAGGCGCTTGCTGATTGGACACACACCCAAACACACACAGAAAAACCGCTGGGGAGAGGCCAGAAGCAGCGACTGACGCCAGCTGTCCAAACGCACGTTTCGAACATGAGTTAGCTGGGAAAAGGCTGGTCAGCTGCGGAGCGCAACTGCGATTCCTTCCCCTTGCTGTCCTTCGAAGACCGCGGCTGGGCGGCGGCGGGGAGCAAACAAAGTGAGGAGCGTGGCCGCGGAGAGTGGAAGCGAGCACTGCCCAGACCGACGCTAACTGTCCCTCCGTCGGGAATGTTTCTCTCCGCCCCCGAGGCGATAATTACAGGTGACTGCGCTTGCCAGGATAGTTTCGAGAAGAAAAGCGCAAGCGCAACACTACCGGGAAGGGTTTCTGGACCGCACGCGAGGTCCCGTGGGGGAAGGGGTAAAACTGCTCGCGCGGAAGCTGCTATCCTATCTTTGTTCGGTCTTTGCCGCCTCACTTGGATAATCGGCGGCGCCTTTTTCGCTTCCACTGCTGGCGTCGCCTATCACCTTCTTCCTCGCTTCTAGTTTAATGATTGGTTCCACTGAAATACTTTTTCCTGGCATCATCCACCCTAGGCAGGCGGTGTGGGAAAGGGAGGGGGAAATTGAGGAAGATTGTGGGAACGTTCGTTATTTGCCTCTGTAAATCCCACAGACGTTTTCTTCGGCGTCTTTTTTTTTTTTTTTTTTTGCCCTTCCATCCCAGCCGAGAGTGTTCCACGAAGTAGCAGCAATGGCTTCTCTGAGTTGCAGTTACAGGTGGCAGCGTAGCTAGAGCCGCCCCCCGCCTCTCTTGGAAGGAGCTGTCGCGATTTCCCTTTGCCGCATCCGGTCGCCCATTCTGCGAGCCGCTTTTGGTCCAAAACTGCTGCAGCTGTTGCAAAATCCCCCAGCGCCCCGCCCCCACACTTCTCCCCCCTCCTCCCCCCTCCTCCCTTTCGAGTGCGCCTCTGGTTTTCCCATGGATCGCGCACCCGAGGGGAAACGGCCAGGAATGAGGCCTCGAAGTCAGGGCTTCCAGGAACCGGCAACGGGGCAGGTTCGTGGGAACAAGCGAGCAGAGCCCCTTCTAAATTGGTGCGAAGGTTACCACCGAGGCTGCAGCCCGCAACCCTTTTTGGCGTTCTTTGACGATTGACGGTTCTCAAGTTTTTCAGTGACCCCTCAACTGTATCTGTGCCTCTAAAAGTGGCTTTCTTCGTTGATGAAGAAGAGTCTGTTGCCCATCTCATAAGACTGATTCCCATAAGACATGCATAGTACTAAATGTTTTGGTTCACTGATTGACTGATTGCTTTTTATCCTGCCTCTGAATTTAGGAGGATTTGCAAGAATTTCCCTGTCCCTTTTATTCTTGTAATAAAATGGTGGATTAGAAATTAGACTGCAGGATATTGACCAGCCAGATCATCTGCTCAGCTGAATGGCTGGGTAAGAATTGAGTTTATGGATTTCTTCCAAATTAATATTATTTCCCTACACTGCTTTTATTATATATATATATATATATATATATATATATATATATATATATATATATATATATATATATATATATATATATAGTATAGGTAAATAAATATATATATTATCAATTAAAGCCTGAAATATGTGAATGTCATTTAATGACATTTAATGAGACATTTAACAAGAGAAAAAGATAAAAGATAAAATCAATCATAAAGTATTATGAAATGAGAAGGAAATCAATTTCCCAGAAAAATCTTCTCTCTCAGGAAAATATGGCTATTGTATCAGGCATCTGTCTTCAAGCAAAAGGTAATTCCAAAGCTTTGAAGGCTACCAGTAGCTTCACTTTTGGAATTTTGTTCATCAAACAACTATTAAAAGTGAAAGACCAATTGAGGCTGCTCTGTTTTTTAATTAATTTATCGTTGATTTGTACATTCATTTTAATGAATAGCGGAAACAATAACTTGCAGCCATATAGACACCTATTTCTAAATATTTTGGCTCCAAATATAATTGCAGCACAAGATGCATTTTAATAAAAAAAAATAGGTTAGGTATTTTATGTTTTCTCATATTTTAATATATATTTTTACATTTTATTTATGTTTTAAAATTGTATCATTTTGTTAGTCACAGAACAACATTTTTAGTAGAATATTAGATACATTTTGTTGATGTACAAAATTAACCTTTGATTTTTCAGTTTCTTAAAAAATCTTTTATTTCAAGCTTTGATTGGTGAAATGAATAGCTACAAAAATAGTTGAAATTTATAAAAAGCAATTTGTTTTCCACTGTAGCTTGGTTTCATTTGTTTACAAATGATTTTATAAAGTCATAATTGTGTTGTTTTCCATAAGCTTATAAAATAATATTTTGATTAAAATTTGCTATGCCTAGTAGGTTCAGTATGGATTTATTTTAATAGGATGTTTCCTTTGAAAGGCTTGTTTGTAACTTGTGTATTAGTTTAAAACATTTTGGTTGATCATTAAGACAACAGATTGCAATATTTTGCATAGATGTTTATGTGTAGCAAGGATTTCAGTGCTATGTTTGCTATTTGAATTTTTAATTGTTATTGGGAGGAAGGAAAAGTGAAAGCTAAGTATTATGTGTTTGTTTTTTATTTTTAACCACTTTTTTACTTCAATTATTTAAAATTACATTATTGGTTGAAATTTAGATGTAGCTGAAGAGTTGGTAAATTTATTGTGGTATAACTACAAGCTTACTCTACTAAATGCATTTAAAAATTGGAGCTGGATAATAAAGAAGCATGTGGTACAATGCATCCAACATTTTAATATACCATAATAATTTTTGCAACTTTATTATGCTTCCTTATGATTTGTTACCTTGTCATCTATTATATGCATGTTATTCATAACTGCCTTTTGACAGGCACTGCAAGGCTAATGGAGAGAATAATACCTTTTATCTTGATGAAATAGACTTGATATAGAACAATATGTCAAATTATAAGATAATAAGGAGCCTTTTGTAAAATTGTAAGGAGCAACAAATCAAGTTCAACTAAATGACACTGGCGAACAAGAATGGCTAAAAATGTTAATAAACATACCACTGAACTGAAAGGTTATTGAAATTTTATTTTACAATGTCCAAATTTGATATTCTTATTTAGAGAGACAGCAGCATTTTTCACTGGATGAATAAAGTAACTAACTCCAGGGTTTTATCAGTATTTTTGAATTTGTGGACATTCTTCAGTGCGTCAATTTGTGGTCATCTCTGTGCATTACTTGTTGTTCCCCATTACATTTTGTCAGTCAGATCTGTCAGGAGACTACAGAACTGGGTGCTGGAGAGAAGGATGAGATGGCTGATCAGCCAAAAAGATCATTATCTGAAAAAAATAAAATCAAAGGAGATATTTCTTTGAATTGTCTGAATTCCACTGCAGTGAAAAACGTGTATACGAAGTATGCCTTGTTTCTGCTGTACCAAAACTTCTTTCATTGGTATTTAAAGCCAGGAGGAACATTTTCTTTTTTCCATTTGTCTTTCTCCCTTTTTCATATACTGTACTACCATTTGATATAATAACAAAATTATTACTCCTTAAGCAGTAACAAAGCAGTTAACTTTTATTATTCAGAATTCCTTGGAGGGCATTATCTTAAATCACAGAACTGTCAAAATTCATAACATTCCATTGGAAGTCACTCTTAGTGAAATTAATTTTTCATGAGGCTATTTCTCTGTCATAATACACTTTGAAAATAATGGGAAGCGGGATGAGATGTAGCCTTACATACATTCTCCAAAGAATACATTGCAAATAGATGCCTAATAGCAAATATCTAACTTCTTTTCTATGACGTGTTAATGTAAAAAGTCAGAACGGTAAAAAATAAATAAATAAAATTGTATACAAGTAGTCCTCAACTTACAACTGTTCTTTTCTGTACAACCATTTGTTTAGTGACTGTTTGAAATTATAACGTCACTGAAAAAAGTGACTCATGACTTTTTCACACTTATGACTGTTGCAATATCCCCATAGTCATGTAATCAAAATTTGGACCCTTGGCAACTGGCATATATTTATGACTGTTGTTGCATCCTAAGGTCATGTGATTACCTTTTGTGATCTTCTGACAAGGTCAGTGAGAAGCCAGATTCACTTAACAACCATTCCTGTCTTAACTGTAGAGATTCATTTACCAGCTATAGCAAGAAAGGTCGTAAAACTCACTTAACAGTCTTGCTTAGCAATGGAAATTTTACGCTTAATTGTAGTTGTAAGTTGAGGACTATCTGTATGCAGCATTTATGCATGCGTGATTGTATGTAAGTAAGCCTTGTTTCACATTTTTCATGGAAAATATATAAGATGAGAGAAAGACATGTTTTGTACCCCCACATAACCTCATCTGGAGCAATTTATGCTGACTGCACATTAATAATTCTTGAATTTTAGATTACATCCCTTAAAAATAATCTTATAACTTAATACAAGTAGTCCTTGTTTAACAACCATACATTCAGTCACCATTTGAAATTACAAAGGTGCTGAACAAATAGACTTAAGACTAGTCCTCAAAGTTTTAGCTGTTGCACCCTTGCAATCATGTAAAGCAAATTTGGCCTCACATGGGCCTACCAACCTTTATGACTGCCTTTTGGCTGCCTACCTACCCACTCCCTACCTGCCCACCTCATTATGCACTACTGCTACTAGCCAGGGCCTTCCTTTTTCGTTACCTTCTTTTATGCTGGTGCCACTGAAGGTCTCTTGTGGCCAGGCCAAACCCTTTGTCTGAATGAAAATAGGCCCAGCATTGGCTATATACTGAATTATTAGTCTCTGGGCATAACCTGTCCATATTTAAAATATACCAATTCACAGATGAAGGACTTTAAACAGACGGAAATCCAGTTTGTATGCACTGCATATGAGCGTTATTAATGAACATGCTAGTAACATGGTTGTGAAAATTAGTCATTGAAAAAGAGAAAAAGACATCTTCACATTATGGATTTGGAGGTAACTACTAAGAGTATTGTGGACTTCAAAAAGAACAATTTAATTAACAATTTAAAAAGCTGACTGCTCTCTAGGAATTATATTTTAGGTATGATATGAGCAGAGGATGGACTAGAAAAATTCTTATGTAAAACAATGGGTAGACAATAGATAAGGTGGATGGAAAGCATTACTGAAATGTCCTTGGAAGAGTGTGACAGGTTTGTAGGTGGTGATTTGTAGTGTAGGGAATTTGTATTGATAGCACCTATCATGTCTTATATCCTTTTTTTTCAAAGTTTCTCACACATGTTTACTAATAACAAATGCAA